TAAGATGTTTCACCTGGAAAGGGTAATAAACAAGCTTTCTCAAATAAAGAGACATCTAGTTGTAATGATTTCACCACAAACTTCTAGATAAGGCTTTTACAAAGAAATGCCATTTGATGGAGAATCAGGTAAACCTACCATCGATCCTAGCCATAAGCCACGAAATGGTCTCAGTTTCTTCTTTAACCATGATTTTTTACCTAGAAATAGTAATATACAAGCTGTCTCAATTAAAGATACTGCCACTTGCAAAGGTTTCACAACAAACTTCTCTGTGAGACTTTTTCAAAAGATTTCATTTTATGGAGAATCAGATAAACCTCCCATTGATCCTTGCCATAAGCCACAAACTGATCTCAGTTTCTTCTTTAACCAAGATGTTTCACCTTGAAAGGTTAATATACAAGCTGTCTCAAATAAAGAGACTTGCACCTGTAATGCTTTCACACCAAACTTCTCTGCGAGACTTTTTTTAAGACATACCATTTGATGGAGAATCAGATAAACCTCCTTATGATCCTTGCCATAAGCCATGAACTGGTCTCTATTTTTTCTTTAACCAATATGTTTCACTTGGAAAGGGTAATATACAAGTTGTCTCAAATACAGAGACTTTCACTTGCAATGATTTCACACCGAACTTCTCTACGATACCTTTTTTAAGAGATACCATTTGATGGAGAATCAGATAAGCCTCCCCATGATCCTTGCCATAAGCCACAAACTGGTCTCAGTTTCTTCTTTAACCAAGATGTTTCACCTTGAAATGGTAATATAAAAGTTGTCTCAAATAAAGAGACTTCCACTTGTAATGATTTCACACCAAACTTCTCTGTGGGACTTTTTTTTAGAGATACCATTTGATGGAGAATCAGATATAACTCCCCAAGATCCTTGTCATATGCCACGTACTGGTCTATGTTTCTTCTTTAACTAAGATGTTTCACCTGGAAAGGGTAATAAACGAGTTGTCTCAAATAAAGAGACATCTAGTTGCAATGATTTCACCACAAACTTCTAGATGAGGCTTTTTCAAAGATATGCCATTTGATGGAGAATCAGGTAAACCTCCCCTAGATCCTAGCCATAAGCCATGAAATGGTCTCAGTTTCTTCTTTAACCATGATTTTTTACCTAGAAATAGTAATATACAAGCTGTCTCAATTAAAGATAATGCCACTTGTAAAGGTTTCATAACAAACTTCTCTGTGAGACTTTTTCAAAAGATTCCATTTTATGGAGAATCAGATAAACCTCCCCTTGATCCTGGACATAAGCCACGAACTGATCTCAGTTTCTTCTTTAACCAAGATGTTTCACCTTGAAAGGTTAATATACAAGCTGTCTTAAATAAAGAGACTTGCACTCGTAATGATTTCACACCAAACTTCTCTGCGAGACTTTTTTTAAGAGATGCCATTTGATGGAGAATCAGATAATCCTCCCCACAATCTTGGCCATAATCCGCGAACTGGTCTAGGTTTCTTCATTAAGCAAGATGTTTAACTTGGAAAGTGTAATATACAAGATTTCTCGAATAAAGAGGCTACCACTTACAATGATTTCACACCAAACTTCTCAGTGAGACTTTTTTAAAGAGATGCCATTTGATGGAGAATTAGATAAAACTCCACATGATCCTAGCCATAAGCCACGAACTAATCTCAGTTTCTTCTTTAACCAAGATGTTTCACCTTGAACGGTTAATATACAAGCAATCTCAAATAAAGAGACTACCACTTGCAAAGATTTCACAACAAACTTATCTGTGAGACTTTTTCAAAGAGATTCCAATTGGTGGAGAATCAGATAAACCTCCACTTGATTCTGCCCATAAGCCACGAACTGATCTCAGTTTCTTCTTTAACCAAGATGTTTCACCTTGAAAGGGTAATATACAAGTTATCTCAAATAAAGAGACTACCACTTGCAATGATTTCACACCAAACTTCTTTGCGAGACTTTTTTACAGAGATGCAATTTGATGGAGAATTAGATAAAGCTCCCCACGATCCTCGCCTTAAGCCGCGAACTGGTCTCAGTTTCTTCTTTAACCAAGATGTTTCACCTTGAAAGGGTAATATACAAGCTGTCTCAAATAAAGAGACTACGACATGCAATGATTTCACACCAAACTTCTCTACGAGACTTTTTTAAATAGATGCCATTTGATGGAGAATCAGATATACCTCTCAAAGGTAATGGTCATAAGCCACGAACTTGTTTCAGTTTCTTCTTTAACTAAGATGTTTCACCTAGAAAGGGTAATATACAAGTTGTCTCAAATAAAGAGAATTGCACTTGCAGTGATTTCACACCAAACATCTCTAAGATAATTTTTTTAAGAGATAACATTTGATTGAGAATCAAATAAACCTCCCCCCGATCCTTGCCATAAGCCATGAACTGGTCTCTATTTCTTCTTTAACAAAGATGTTTCACTTGGAAAGGGTAATATACAAGTTGTCTCAAATGAAGAGACTGCCACTTGTAATGATTTCACACCAAACTTCTCTGCGATAATTTTTTAAAGAGATTCCATCTGATGGAGAATCAGATAAACCTCCCCACGATCCTGTCCATAAGCCGCGAACTGGTCTCAATTTCTTTGTTAACCAAGATTTTTCACCTTGAAAGGGTAATATATAAGTTGTCTCAAATAAAGAGAGTGCCACTTGCAATGATTTCACAACAACATTTCTGCAAGAATTTTTTTTAAAAGATACCATTTGATGGTGAATGAGATAAACCTCCCCATGATCCTGGCCATAAGCCAGGAACTGGTCTTAATTTCTTCTTTAACTAAGATTTTTCACCTGTAAAGGGTAATATACAAGCTGTGTCAAATAAAGAGACAGCCACATGCAATGATTTCACAAAAAATTCTCTGTGAGACTTTTTCAAAGATATTACATTTGATGGAGAATTATATAAACCTCCACTTGATCCTAGCTATAAGCCATGAACTAATCTCAGTTTCTTCTTTTACCAAGATGTTACACCTTAAAAGGTTAATATACAAGCTATCTTAAATAAAGAGACTGCCACTAGCAATGATTTCACACCAAATTTCTCTACGAGAAATTTTTTAAGAGATACCATTTGATGGAGAATCAGATAAACCTCCCCACGATCCTTTCCATAAGCCACGAACTGGTCTCAGTTTCTTCTTTAACCAAGATGTTTCACCTTGAAAGGGTAATATACAAGCTGCCTCAAATAAAGATACCACCATTTGCAATGATTTCCCACCAAACTTCTGTGTGAGACTTTTTAAAATAGAAGCCATTTGATGGAGAATCAGATAAATCTACCCATGATCCCGGCCATAAGCCGAGAACTGGTCTCAGTTTCTTCTTTAAACAAGATTTTTCACCTTTAAAGGGTAATAACAAGTTGTCTCAAATAAAGAGACTGCCTTTTGTAATGATTTCACACCAAACTTCTCTGCGAGTATTTTTTTAAGAGATACCATTTGATGGTGAATTAGATAAACCTCCCCATGATTCTGGCCATAAGCCACGAACTGGTCTCAGTTTCTTCCTTAACTAAGATATTTCACCTTTAAAGGGTAATATACAAGCTGTGTCAAATAAAGAGACAACCACTTGCAATGATTTGACAAAAACTTTTTGTTATACTTTTTCAGAGATATTCCATTTGATGGAGAATCATATAAACCTCCCCTCTTTCCTGGCCATAAGCCACGAACTAATCTCAGTTTCTTCTTTAACCAAGATGTTTCACCTTGAACGGATAATATAAAAGCAATCTCAAATAAAGAGACTGCCACTTGCAAAGATTTCACAACAAACTAATCTTTGAGACTTATTCAAAGAGATTCCATTTGATGGAGAATCAGATAAACCTCCACTTGATTTTTGGCATAAGCCACAAACTGATCTCAGTTTCTTCTTTAACCAAGATGTTTCACCTTGAAAGGGTAATATACAAGTTGTCTCAAATAAAGAGACTACCACTAGCAATGATTTTACACCAAACTTCTCTGCGAGACATTTTATAAGAAATACCATTTGATGGAGAATCAGATACACCTCCCTAAGATCCTGGATATAATCTACGAACTGGTCTCAGTTTCTTCTTTAACTAATATGTTTCACCCGGAAAGGTTAATATACAAGCTGACTCAAATAAAGAGACATCTACTTACAATGATTTCACAACAAACTTTTATATTGGACTTTTTCAAAGATATGCCATTTGATGGAGAATCAGCTAAACCTCCCCTCGGTCGTTTCCATAAGCCATGAGATGGTCTCAGTTTCTTCTTCATCCAAGATTTTTCACTTGGAAACAGTAATATAAAAGTTGTCTCCAATAAAGAGGCTGCCACTTGCAAAGATTTCACAACAAACTTATGTGAGTCTTTTTCAAAGAGATGCCATTTGATGGAGAATCTTATAAACCTCCCCTTGATATCAAGCGCATAAAAGAAAGCGCTTTTGGAAAATAATTGTTGTTGTAGGTTTTAAAAAAAATTCGCTTAAAAAAGCGCTTTTAAAGGGTGCCTTAAGAAAGCGCTTTTCAAAAGCGCTTCTATAGGTCACCCTTAGAAAGCGCTTTTTGGGAAGCACTGCTAAAGCTGGCCATTCAGAGGGTACCTTAAGAAATCGCTTTTCAAAAGCGCTGCTAAAGGCCAGCCTTAGAAAGCGCTTTTCCAAAGCGCTGCTAAAGCTGGCCTTTAGAAAGCGCTTTTAAAAGTGCTGCTATAGGATATTCTATGAAAGCGCTTTTTGATGTAAAAGCGTTGTTATAGATAACCCTTAGAAAGCACTTTTTTACATGGTAGGGTGAATTTAAAAAGAGCGCAGGCAGGAGGAGAACAAAACCCTTGTTAAAGGTTTAGAAGATAACAAAAGTGAATAGTCCGTCTTCTCCTTAGAGGCAGCGGAAGAATAAAACGACGTTAGAATTGGCGTTGCAGTATAACAGAAGTAACCACAAATGCTTGGGCTTATAAGAACGAGAAAAAAGCAATAATGCAGAAATTCCTACAACGTCCAACTTGTTCACTCCCAATCCCTATTCTATCTTCTTCTTCTTCTCATAACCCTGTCTTCCTTCATCTTCCAACAGCAACAATGTCTACAACAACAACAACAACAAAAACACCAAATAGCAATAGCACTCTCCTTCTCAAACATTCCTCTTCTTGTTACTCCAACCCCTCCTATCTCCGCACATCTTTCTCTCCAACTCTAACCTTAACACCCACCAAAACCCTTCTTAACCGGTCTCTTTATTCAAATTCCTCTTTACATCATTCATCTTCCCACCCTACAACCGGGGTACATGATTCTTCTTCTTCTTCTTCTTCCTCTTCCTCTACCACCGCCTTCAGACTAAATAGGAGGTAAAAGGTTTCTTCTTATCCATCCTCTAATCCTGATTTGTTGGCTATTCCCGGTGTGGGTCCCAGAAATTTCAGAAAACTCCTCAACAAAGGTATCCAAGGTGTCGCCCAACTCAAACAACTCTACAAAGATAAGGTTTCTATCTTCTGTTTTAGGGGTTTTCAATATTTACCTCTCTTCACTTTATACCATGTTTATGTTTCTTTACTCTAATTATCATTAGCTTTTGACCATTTTCTTCTTCTCTGCAGTTCTTTGGGAAATCTAGTGACCACATGGTGGAGTATCTACAAAGCTCTGTTGGAATTATCCACAAGAACCATGCTGAAAGTATATTTCATCTTGCCATCTATACCTATCGTCGCCGACTTATCGACTAGTTGGCAAGGGAAAAGTCCATAACACTTTGGGAGATTTACTTCACCATAGACTGCTTCCGGATGGACACATGAAAGTATCGGTTGATATTGCTTTAGATATGGATGCATTGCTACCGGTACCTGGCATTGTTGCTGAGACCACATTGTTGCGAGATGCAATAGGATCTTTTGTTGCATGGCCATCGAACCTCATTTTCATAGATGATCAGGTATGTTGAAAACCATTATGAATCTTTAAGTCTTCAACCTTCAGTTCTGACCTCAGTTATTTCCACGGTAATTATAGACTCCTACAAAACCCGCATCTAAGGATAAAGGGATTTTGCGGCACGACGAGTATGATGTATCACAAAAAGAGGTACGTTTAAAGTGTTAATTATATGATCCGAATAAAAAACTGCATAATTTTATAATTTAACTGAGTCTATATGATTTTTAGGTACCTTTTCAAGGGTCACAACAAGTGATCCAGAAAATCGTTGGCGTTCCACCCAAGAAAAGGGTTCCTACTAGATTTTTCCCTCGATACCGGTAGTGTCTTGAAACAATAGTGGGAACAACAGATTTGATGGATGGTGGTATTCGTCAAATGGATATGGATCAAGGTATCTTTTGTTTTCCTTGCACCGAAATAATTGGACATGAGGACGTGGGAGAGATTTTCTGTCATAAATAATTAGGCGTCAGTATTATGCAAGCATACATCCGGTAACCCCATCTTTATATTATGTAATTAGCTAAAAAAAATTTTAAACATTTCAATGAATATAGTCTAATATTAATTATGTTTTTATTTAACGTTGTTATATGACAAATTAATGTGCGGGAATCAATTGTCAAACAGATTCCATTTCGTGTCTTCCTCCCGTGTCAGCGGAGCAACAATTGGTAGGGAACCGGATTCAGTAAGAGAGCACTTAGTCGAAAGATTCATGGCAATTAACAGTACAGAAAGCTTATATCTTTGGGCGTATAATACTATTCCTACAGGGTTAGATTTTCATTCTAAGTTCATTTTAATATTTGTAATTTTTGTGTAGAAAATTTTCTTCTAAACTATTATTTTAATTTATAGACGTCAGTGGTTGTTGTTTGCTATCGATCCTATAACAGAAGTGGTCTATTATCTGAATTCAGTTGACGGTGATTGGACAAATTATCCGGATATGAAGTTAATGATTGATACGTAAGTGAGATTATTCTAAATATTTGTGTGTATTTATATATTTAATTATTTCTTTGACATTGTTCTAAATATATATTTTTATTTTGTTAGAGCGATACAAGTATTCCGGTGTCAAAGAGAAGCTCGGGTACGACGGTCTAAATCAAACAACATTAATTGGATCAAAGTGCAGGTATATTAATTTCCACTATTTTGCTTATAATATTTATGCTATTTGATAAAATAATACAACTATATATTCTTATTTGTATTTCTATGTAGTGTCCTCAACAGCAAAACGATATATATTGCGGATACTTCGTTATGCGGTTTATCAAAGAAATCCTTCAACTGAATCAAATAGAGATTTCAGTCACGGTATGGATTTATAACTTAGGATTTTTTTTATTATTTCTCGGATATTTCATGTAATTTTATAGTTTTAACTAAATCATGCATATTATGTTTTGTTATGTAGTACTTCGATGAATACAAATGTGCATATTACACAAAACTTCAGTTGGAAGAAATCAAAGAGGAATTGTGTCAATATTTTATTGAGCAGAGAATCATATAAGGTATGAATACATTATTATGTGAAAAGTGTTATGAATACGTTACATGTGTACATGGAATACCATATTGACCGTGTTATTATGTTCAAACCTCACATGACCAGGACCTTAATACATAATTGACCGTGTTTCTTTCATACATTAGGACTGGTTTAGTTGTTGTTAGGGTTGATTTTGTAAGACTGATTTTGAGTTACAATGCTGATAACAATGGTTTTTATATATTTTGAGGTACAAAAATGGTGTATATATATTTTGGATTACAATGGTATACAATGCATTACCGCGGTTTATGAATGACAGGTTATGGCAACTAGTTTATATAAATAATATGCTGCAAACAACGCAGGTATATGAATTATATAAATTATGCCTCTAAAAAAAACACCCTATGAAAGTTCTTTTTCAAGAAAAACGCTGCCTTAGGTAACCTATGAAAGCGCTTTTTCACAAAAAGCGTTGTCTAAGGTAAACATATGACAGCGCTTTTCCAGGCAAAAGCACTGCTAAAAGACCACCTATGAAAGCGCTTTTCCAGAAAAAAGCGTTGCTAAAAGCATACCTAAGACAGTGCTTTTCCAGAAAAAAGCATTGCTAAAAGAAAACTTAAGTCAGCACTTTTCCAGAAAAAAGCGCTGCCTTAGGTAGACATATGAAAGCGCTTCTTCATAAAAAAGCGCTTCCAAAAGCCTACTTAAGAGAGCACTTTTTAGAAAAAGTGTTGTATTAGGTAGACCTACGAAAGGGCTTTTCATTAAACAAAAAGCGCATCTAAAACCTATAGCAGTGCCACCTACGAAAGCGCTTTTAAGCGCTTTTAAAGGCCAATAAAAGAGCTTTCGTAAGTATTTTTTGACGTAGTGGATCCTGGCCATAAGCCACGAACTAATCTCAGTTTCTTCTTTAACCAAGATGTTTTACCTTGAAAGGTTAATATACATAGTGTCTCAAATAAAGAGACTGCCACTTGCAATGATTTCACACCAAGCATCTCAGCGAGACTTTTTTAAAGAGATACCATTTGATGGAGAATCAAATAAACCTCCCCATGATCCTTGCCAGATTTCACAAACTGGTCTCTGTTTATTCTTTAACCAAGATGTTAAACTTGGAAAGTGTAATATACAAGATTTCTCGAATAAAGAGGCTACCACTTGCAATGATTTCACACCAAACTTCTCTGTGAGACTTTTTTAAAGAGATGCCATTTGATGGAGAATTAGATAAAACTCCCCATGATCCTAGCCATAAGCCACGAATTGGTCTAAGTTTCTTCTTTAACCAATATGTTTCACCTTGAATGGGTAATATACAAGCCGCCTCAAATAAAGAGACCGCCACTTGCAATGATTTCACACCAAACTTCTCTGCGAGACTTTTTAAAATAGAATCCATTTGATGGAGAATCAGATAAATCTCCCCACGATCCTGTCTATAAGCCGAGAACTGGTCTCGGTTTCTTCTTTAACCAAGATGTTTCAACTTTAAAGGGTAATATACAAGTTGTCTCAAATAAAGAGACTACCACTTGCAATGATTTCACACCAAACTTCTCTGTGAGACTTTTTTTAAGAGATACCATTTGATGGTGAATCAGATAAACCTCCCTAAGATCTTGCATATAATCTAAGAATTGGTCTCAGTTTCTTCTTTAACTAAGATGTTTCACCTTTAAAGGGTAACATACAAGCTGTGTCAAATAAAGAGACAACCTCTTGCAATGATTTCACAAAATCTTTTTGTGATACTTTTTCAAAGATATTCCATTTGATGTAGAATCAAATAAACCTCCCCTCATTCCTGGCCATAAGCCACGAACTAATCTCAGTTTCTTCTTTAACCAAGATGTTTCACCTTGAACGGTTAATATACAAGCAATCTCAAATAAAGAGACTACCACTTGCAAAGATTTCACAACAAACTTATCTGTGAGACTTTTTCAAAGAGATTCCATTTGGTGGAGAATCAGATAAACCTCCACTTGATTCTAGTCATAAGCCACAAACTGATCTCTGTTTCTTCTTTAACCAAGATGTTTCACCTTGAAAGGGTAATATATAAGTTATCTCAAATAAAGATACTACCACTAGCAATGATTTCACACCAAACTTCTCTGTGAGACATTTTTTAAGAGATACCATTTGATGGAGAATCAGATACACCTCCCTAAGATCTTACATATAATCTAAGAATTGGTCTCAGTTTCTTCGTTAGCTAAGATGTTTCACCCGGAAAGGGTAATATACAAGTTGTCTCAAATAAAGAGACATCTAATTGCAATGATTTCACAACAAACTTATGTATGGTAATTTTTCAAACATATTCCATTTGATGGAGAATCAGCTAAACCTCCCCTCGGTCCTTGCCATAAGCCACGAAATGGTCTCAGTTTCTTCTTCAACCAAGATTTTTCACCTGGAAACAATAATATACAAGTTGTCTCCAATAAAGAGGCTGCCACTTGCAAGGATTTCCCAACAAACTTCTCTGTGAGACTTTTTCAAAGAGACGCCATTTTATGGAGAATCATATAAACCTCCCCTTGATCCTGGCCATAAGCCATGAACAGATCTCAGTTTCTTCCTTAACCAAGATGTATTACCTTGACAGGTTAATATACAAGTTGTCTTAAAAAAAGAGACTGCCACTTGCAATGATTTCACACCAAACATCTCAGCGATACTTTTTTAAAGTGATACCATTTGATGGAGAATCAGATAAAACTCCCCACGATCCTTGCCATAATCCACAAACTGGTCTCTGTTTCTTCTTTAACCAAGATGTTTAACTTGGAAAGTGTAATATACAAGTTGTCTCAAATAAAGAGGCAGCCACTTGCAATGATTTCACACCAAACTTCTTTGTGAGACTTTTTTAAAGAGATGTCATTTGATGGAGAATTAGATAAACCTCCCCACGATCCTGGCCATAAGCCATGAATTGGTCTCAGTTTCTTCTTTACCCAAGATGTTTCACCATGAAAGGGTAATATACAAGCTGTCTCAAATAAAGATACTTCCCCTTGCTATGATTTCACACCAAACTTCTCTACGAGACTTTTTTTGAGAGATTCCATTTGATGGTGAATCAGATAAACCTCCCCATGATCCTGGCCATAACCCACGATTTTGTCTCAGTTTCTTCTTTAACTAAGATATCCCACCTGTAAAGGGTAATATACAAGCTGTGTCAAATAAAGATACAACACCTTGCAATGATTTCACAAAAACTTCTATGTGATACTTTTTCAAAGACATTCC